TATTGACATTCATTCCTATTTTTTTTAACTTTATTTAACTAAAAATACATTTATTAGTGATTACAAGATCATACAGTGTAGTAATATTGTCTTGTTTTGTAATTCACTGGCAACGGCTACACAAAAGGGATGGTGAAGTAATTTACTTGATCCAGTGGTAAGTTTGAAAATAATAATTTAATTTGTTTAAACATAGTGTTGATTAAATTTGAATTATTACTTTAGTATTACTCACTTTGTCTCATATTATATGTCATTTTGGGTTGTCGCACACATATTAAGAAAATTAATCAATGTGCATGGATTTTTGTAAAAAAACAAATACTGAAATATTTAATCAATCGTTGTCATTAATTCCTTCTCAAATAATTATTTTTTAATTAATTAAGAGTGATAGAAAGGCAAAATTCAATAAAATGCAATAAATGCATCATTGGAATTCTAAAGTGATAAATAATTTGGGATAAGAAAAAAAGTTCTCCAAAGACACAAATATTGTGGAATATATAAAATATTTTGTAAATGCAGATGTTCGGATGGAACACTTTTCAATAAATGGATTCCAGACAAACACCATGTAAATAATATACAAGATAAATTTATATACGAGTCCCTATGTTGGGATAGGTAGACTTTATACTAACATTATATAACACATTGAATAGTTTGTATTATATTTTATGTTTATTATTGATGTAGATTAATATTACAATCATGACTGTGGAGTGTATGTTGATAATTGAAAGAGGAATGCAACATCAACTATAAGAGGTAATTATTTTTAATTTTTCTTACATTATGTCATTTACTTATTTCTCTTTTAGTTGTATTCTAATGAATGTTTTGTATATTAAGAGTGAATCTGTTGATGTCCGATTGCGATTCATCTCTACAATGGCAGTCCCAACAAGTTTGCTATGATGGGATAAGACGTGTTCTGCACTGTGACGAACTGATGATGATGTTTGAGGTTCAAATAGCTTGATAATGATGTTTTTAGTGGTCTTACTATGCTAATTAAGATAGTTAAAATCGAGATCTAGATCTTAAAATCGTGCGATTTTAAGATTTTACACACTAAGAAGGAGTGAGATCGGACTAAAATCGCAGGTGCCTCAAAATCAAGTGAAATCGCGTTTAAAATCGTTAAAAACGCGATTTTAATGCGATTTTGGTGATTTTATTTTCTATCTCAGTTTTGGCTGAAATTTTGAGTTTGGCCTAAAACGCCCAATATTTAACTATTAAAATTCAGCCCAGTAGCAAATAAATCAGTAATTTTATAGGCCCAGTTTGATTTTGCCCTAAAACATCAGTATGTCGTGAACGGAAGAAAAAATTTCTCTTCTCTTAAGAGAAAAACAGCCCGCGTCTGTGAGTTACCAAGGAAGGCGGCGAACCGTGAGGGAAGGAGGCAGCAAAGGAGGCGGTGGTACGGCGGCTCAGCGGCGAAGGCGACGATGCTGGTAACTGGTGAGTGTTTTTTTTTTTTCTTTCTTCTGTCTCTATTTATTTGCAAGACAGACTGTTTTACAAATTAAATTTCGACAATTTCCCATCTTTGTAATCAAATATTTACTTAGACATTATTATTTAATTTTCAGATTCTTATTAAAATGTCGGGGGTTGCTTCTAGTTCTTCAATTATGTCTAAGAAAAAGAAGAGTAATTCGAAGAAGTCTAGTGGAAATTGACCTGATATTGGGTGGGAGCATGGCATTGACATTGACAATAATGCGAAGAGATCTCAATGTAAATATTGTACTAAATATTTTTTCGGAGGTGTCTAGCGAGGGGAAGAATCATCTTGCTGGTACAAATAAAAATGTTATTGCATGTTTAAATGTGCCAGATGATGTGAAGACCCATATGATTGAGAATCTAGCAACTCTTGTTGAGATTAAAGAGAAGAAAAAAAAGAAATTGTATGACACCTCGGGTTCGATGAATGAAACACACTCGGGATTAATGGATCATGCGGGCAAAGGGGAAAGAAAAAGCAGATTTGTGCCAAACAACTATGAATCAACTACTCAAGAAGGATTTGCAAAAAAGTGCATGCAAACGAATAGCAAAATGGTTTTATACAAGTGGGATCCCTTTCAACACAGTGAGAAATCCCGAGTTTGAGAGAGCATGTGATGAGATAGCTCGACATGGTCCAGGTTTTAAGGGTCCCTCTTACCACGAGATTAGAGAGACTTTTTTTACTGAAGAAATCAAGGAAATGGGCAATTTTCTTGATGTGAACAAGGACGAATGACTTCCTATAAAAGAAAAACAAGGACGAATGGAGTAAGATTGGATGCGCAATCATGTCGGATCGTTGGACTGAGAGAAAGAGAAGATCGATATGTAATGTCTTGGTTAATAGTCCTAAATAAACTGTTT